CTTTGCAGACAGTCGCCAGGCCCTGGCTGCACTGGATGCATGAGCGCAAACTCGTGCCACGTATCCTGGCACACGTCAACAGCGGTTCCTCGGACTGCCCGCTCTCGCCCTCCGAAAGCCTGGAAGCGGCAACTCTAGCGTATACCGCTTTAAAACTGCCCTGCCCTTCAGATATGAGCCCCGAAGCAGGACAACCATACCGACTCCACCTGTTGCATGCCCTGGCCAAATCTTGGGGTGACCCCGACATGGCCCTCCTTCCATTTTTGCAGCACGGAGTGCCAACAGGAGCCGTATCAGCCTTGCCTCCAAGCCTTCAGTGGCCAGCGAAGAAGCCAGACTCCATGCCGCAGCCGGATCTGGAAATTTGTGAAGGCAACTGGAAGATGGCCGAAGACGAGCCAGAAACCGTGCAAGGTTTGCTGCGCAAGGAAATTGCTAACAACTGGATTGTTGAAACCAGCCTTAGCATAGCCGACGCTCAGAAAAAATTGCCCTTAGGTATTGCCGTGGGCAAGCTTAATGTCGTGTTCGCCGAAGGCAAAGAACCTCGACTTGTCTTGGATAGCACTGTGTGCCAGGTCAATACCAGATGCCATTTGCCAGAGCGCCTTAGCTTGCCCATGGCCTCTGACTTGGCGCTGTCCACGCAGCCAGAGGACACTCCAGGTGCCTTCATCGGCGCCAGCATTGACTTCAAAGCCGCACACAAACAAGTGCAGGTCCGCCCAGAGGAACATGGCCTTCTTCTCTTCGCCTTTCAAGGGAAGCTATACCATTACAGGGTATGCCATTTTGGGGGCCGTTTCTCGGCCTTCTGGTGGCAGCGCACCGGCGCTTTCTTGCTTCGTCAAGTGCATGGGTTGCTAGCCTGGAAGCCGCACAAAGCCTTTCTCTTCGTGGACGACCTGCTCTGTGCACTCGTCCGGGATAGCGCACCAGACATGTTTGCCTTGGTGGTGCTCTTCTTTTGTGCCATTGCAGCACCCATTTCGTGGAAAAAGGTGCAATTCCAGGATAGCCTGGTTTGGTGCGGTTGGGAGATCCACTTCTCTCACGACACCATCCAGCTCATGTCCTCAAAACTGGCCAAGCTGGACGCCTTAATCAAATCCCTGCTGGGAAGCCGACGTGTGCCTCGCAAGACACTCGAGCAGTGCATAGGCTTGCTGATTTGGGCCACCAGCATTGCCCTGCACCTTAGGTCCTGGCTGGCACCGCTTTACGCGGACCTCAACAGCCCACCAGGCTCCATGCACTCAATACCACCGCAAATGTGGTCGGCCTTTCGAGCATCCTTGTCAAGGGACCTCAAAACTGGTCACAGCCTGCCAGGATTGTGGATCACAGCGGGCTCCAAAATCTTGGAAATTTCAGGCCGCACCTTGCATTGCCTTGAAGACATTCCGCGAGTGCCTGGCACCAGCAAGCCCACATGGGTGCGCATCGCGGACCCCAATAACCCATACACCAGCCTTTCCAAGTCGAGTCAACAGTGCCTTACTTGGCTGGCGTCGTGCTTTCGACACTCACCCATTCAGCCGTTGGCGCGGCCACGCCAGCTGCAAGCTCTGGCTGCCGCCGACGCGTGTGCTGAAGATGAAATGGTGGGGATTGGGGGCTGGGCAATCACATCCTCCCAAGTGGTGTGGTTCGCCGAGACCTGGAACATGCAAGACATAAGAGCCGTGTGGCCTTGCCTTGTCAAGCCAGCACAGCGGTATATCGCATGCTTTGAAACACTTGCACAGTTAGCACTGCTGCAAGCAACCCACAGCCACATTGGTGGTGGGCACTACTCGTTTAGCATGCCGTCCGGCACGGACAATTCCGCCACGGAAGCAAGCCTTAACAAATTGTTCACGACCTCATGGCCGTTGCAACTTTTTGTGCAGTTAACAGCCTTCTGGGCTCACGCTCACAACGTGCTGCTGCAGCCCACGCACGTTCCAGGAAGGTGCAATGATTGGGCAGACGATCTCAGCAGAGGTCGGTTGGCCCGATTCAGCCATCGCCCTGAAAGTCGCATGCGCTTCAGCCCTGCTAGCCTGGCGATGTCAGGCCGAGGCATTCAACTGTGTCCGATGCATGCGCCCTGGCGTCCGGAACATTTGGCAACCCTTTTCCGCCGTTGCCTTGTCAGCCAGAACAACTGGCCATGTCAGCCAGCCACTTGCACAAGCCGCTCTGACCAGAAAAAAGTGCAGTCACCGCATGCCGAGCTGTTCACAACACAGCGTGCATGGTGACCCTAACATCTGCCCTGCCAGGTACAACCCCACTCTGAAGGGCGGGTGATGAGGCCTTCGGCCCAGCTGGTTCGCTTTTACCGGGGTTGACTGAAACACTGAAGGGGGGGTCAATGTGCCTCCTGCTCCAGGCGCACTAGTGCCCTGGAAGCAGTGCAACTTTCAGCAATCCCGGTGAAAAGAACTGCGGCCGCTTCGGACGAGCTTTGTTCTTTCGAGGTTTCATGTTTGGGTTCAAGCTAGGAGCAGTGCGACATGCCTTAACGCTTAGGGTTTCTTTTCCCTTGTGTTTAGGGCATGTGGTGAATCGAACTATGCGTTGGCCGTTTTGCTCCTAGCCTTGACCCAAACCTGCGGTTTCATTTCGAAACCCACCCACCCTGCATTGCCCTATGCCAGGCTTTGCCAGGATAGACGGCAGTTTCTCTGCACTTTCGTGGGTCGCCTCCGGGCACCGTGGTCTCCGGACTAGGTCTCCGGACCAACATCGGTCTCCGGACCTCGAGTCTCCGGACTGTCGGTCTCCGGACCTTGGGGCGTGGGCACGCGTGCCGCGCCCCCCCAAGCACTGCATTTACCCGCAAGGACACGCATTGTCTTGCCTTTTCACATTTCGGGGGGTCAATGTGCCTCCTGCTCCAGGCGCACTAGTGCCCTGGAAGCAGTGCAACTTTCAGCAATCCCGGTGAAAAGAACTGCGGCCGCTTCGGACGAGCTTTGTTCTTTCGAGGTTTCATGTTTGGGTTCAAGCTAGGAGCAGTGCGACATGCCTTAACAATTGCGATTGAAGCGGTCATGGCTTCTCGTTCCCAAAAAGAGCATGATCAGCATCGAGAGTGCTTTGACGCCACATCTACGGAAAATTACTACACCGCCACTCGAAAGTGCCTTGTGAGTATTGGTGCTTGGGAAGACAGAGGCAAAGTGAGAGATCGCGTGCAAGAAACGCGGGGTGGCGTGGAGGTCGTTGGACTTGCTGCAAATGCAGCGCACACGGGCTACCATGTCTACGTAAAGCGTCAAGGTGAAGAAGTTGTGAACTTCTACGTCCCGTGCGATCGAGTTGCAAGGAGGTTTGCCTGGAAGGACGAAGAGCCATTCTTCGAGATCAGTTCTGCCCAGAAGTTCAAGTACATTGAGCCAGGCTGGAATTCTCTTGAACTTTCAAGCTCAACATTGTTTTTTGAGATTTGGATTGCGAAGCTCGACCAGTTTTCAGGGCCCGTGAAAACCAACCGGCGCACTGAGCACGCCGCTTGCCAAGAATGCCTCCTGCAAGGCTGTGCTGCTTCGCAACCATCCATTGTGTCAGCTGAGACGCCTTGCCTGGGCCTTACCAGCAGTGTGCAGTCTTGCCTGCCCTGCATTCATGTCCATGTTCAAGAAAAGGTGTCAAGGGGTTGACTTTTTCTCAGAAGCACTCTCAACTTGTCCCCCACCTCCAAAATCCACTGCGTTTGTGAGAATTGCGGAGCCGTTGGTTGAATCGATGGATGGCTTGTGGATCTGCAAGGACGGCAAAGAGTTTGAGATCATTGGCAATGCGTTCAAATTTACTAGTGGTGTTTCAGATGTCCTCGCCTCAGCTGCGCCACTTTGCAAAGGATCACCTCATCTTTGTGTTGCCTTCGGAAGTGTTCCTTCACTCTTCGCGGGGAGGTGGATGACCTCAAGAAAGCCCTGCGCTTAGAGCTTGTGAGCCTCGCCAGCCTTTCGACGCTGCGCCGACCTCTTCACTTTTGTGAGCCTCACTGACATCGCTGCAGGCAATCAACTCTGCTTTGTCTCGGTTCCAAGCATCCAAGATTCACATACACAGCCAGAAGGAGAGCTTTGCGTGTCGAAAAACACACCCATTTGTTCCATTTCCTCGCCTTACCCTTTGCCCTGTCTCAGCTTGACTTTGCAGGATGGCTGGGTCAAGGAAGATGAAGAAGCAGGCACACATTGTTTCACCTCGTGCAGGGGAAAGCGGGCACAGTCGCTTCTTTGCAGAGTGACTTTGCTTGACTTGAAGGGTGAGGGAGGTCAATGCTCAACTGTTTGAACATCAAGCTGCGGTGTTCAAGTCAAGCAGGGAATACATGCAACGGGTAGAGGAGCAGCAACAGTTGCCAGCTCTGGCTAAAAACTGAGCTGTCCTTCGCTGCGTGTAAGCGCACGGATGTATATAGCATGAGACAGATACAAGTCGCGTGGCACATGTGCCGCCTTCATGAACCAAAAGAGATAATTAACCGATCATGCACATGCGACACATGACGGCTCATTGTCCATCTATTTCTCTGGTGCTGTTCAGAAAGCGGCTGGCAACAACAAGACAGATGTTGAGGCCTACATCAGAAAAAGAAAGGCAAACGCGGGCTGGTCGGCACATGAATTCGAGCCGAGTGGTAGCAGGCCTCCTTCAAGGCGGTTGAACAACTACCAGATCGTTTTGCGAACGCATTGTATTTTACTTGCTTGGTTTGTTCATGTTAAGGTCAGATGACATTCTTGTGGAATAGTTTGAGGAGTTCGTGCCGTTGCTGCTTGTTTTGATTCATTGGATTGGCTGTTGGTTCATTTTGTCGTGTTTAAGAGACATCAACCATTTTGCAGAAAGATGATTAATGCTGTTTCACCGTCGTGTGCCACTCGATCCTAGCTTCAATTGACAATTGCCGTTAGGTTGTCATTTTTTTTTAAAACAGTTTCATGGAGCGTTTCGTCCCTTCAGCAAGTATAAGTGCTTAGAGTTGCCTGCGTGTCAGCGTGGCTTGCAGTCTTCCCTTCGATCTCGCGAGCCATGGCCCGCACACCGAGGGCGCGCGCCCGTCTCCTGGGCTGCGGCATCGCCGCCGCGGCCGTGTGTTGCCCGTTGGGCTTCGTGCCGGCGCCTGGTGCCACGCCCACGGCCCCAACACGAGAGGCGGCAGCAGCGGCAGCTGTGGTGGTGGCCGCAGTCCCGGCGGAGGCTTGGGCCAAAGGCGGGCAGTGGGGCCCATTGGAGGGCAAAGCATCCAGCCTCGTTCACCCCATCATGATGGCGACGCTGTTCTTTGTCACCTTGTACACAGGGTACCTGGGCTGGCAATCGCGGCAGGTTCGAACTCTGGGGGCGGAGGTGAGCGGCTTGAGGAAGCAGTTGCCCAAGGACCCTGAGAAAGAAGAGTCCAGCGCAACGAAGTCCCTCAGGCAACAAATCAGCGAGTTGGATTCGGAGAGGAAACAACTCATCAAGGGGAATTTCAGGGACAACCATTTCGCACTCAGCTCTCTGATCCTGGGGGGTGGCATTTTCTTCACCCTCTACGGCGTCTTCAACACCTGGTTCCGGGCTGAAAAACTCTTCCCAGGACCACACCTGTTCGCTGGTGCTGGCATTGTGGCATGCTGGGCGCTTTCAGCTGCTCTGGTTCCCTACATGGAGAAGGGAAATGAGGGCGCGCGTACAGCGCACATCGGCTTGAATTGCGTGAACCTGCTCTTGTTTGCCTGGCAGCTGCCGACGGGCTTCGAGATCGCCCAGAAGGTGTGGGGATTGGAGATCGCATGGTTCTGAGGGCATGTCCGAACGGCTTCATGTCCGAGGGCCGGCCCGGATTGTTTGTGTATCAAGCAGCTAAGCATTTGCATGCTTTTTCCCCAAAGTTTTCATATCAGTTTTCTTGCTCAACGCACAGATTCGGCAGGACACATCAAATTCTGGAGCCGGCCATTTGGCAGCGAACGGTACACGACTGCGTTTGTGCAGTTAACACGAGCATTTGTGTTGTCCTGAGCTTCAGAATGTGTCATCATCTTCTTGTGTCGACGTGAGCATAGAACAACAAAAAACATGTGTGCTTGCGTATCAGAATGATGCAGCCATGCTTCAGCAGATGTTGGCATGCTCATGCTGCATTCCGTGGGCATTTGTAATGCACGCGTGCGTGAGGGACGTGTAATCGATATTATTTAGCATGAGGTGATGATATAAGCCAACATTCGTGAAGAAAGATTTGGAGTTGCAATGTGAAGTGGTAGAGGTCAGGCTGTCATGTTGCAACTGTGCTTATCGTCTGTTTTGAGGCTTATCGTCTGTGTTGCAACTGTGCTTATCGTCTGTTTTGAGGCGGTCTTTGAGTTAGCACAAGGCAATCAAACACGAAGTTCTTTGTGAACATCCTAGGCGGAATGCAAGCGCTAAGGAGCTTGGCATCGGAATGAGGAAAAACCAGTCCTCCAGCATTTGACAGTGTTTGAGTCAAAAGTGCCGTCAGCTTTGCCATGAACGGCAGCTCTCCGCCGTTATTCGCCAAGCCCAGACCAGCCCAGCCGGTGCCCAAGTCCGTGTGTTGTCATATTGCCGTGTCGCTTTTTCTGAGAGATGCTTGCCTTGAGTCTGCCACCAAATTCGCTTCGCTTGAGTCAGCGGTGACATGTTGCGATCCGAGGACGGTCATTTGGGGCCGCAAAGGCGCATTTTCGCAGCTCGATCTTGGCTTGAGCTGGTTTCAGGTGGCCACACAGTCAGAGTCTTTGTCTTTTCTTTGTCTTCCTTCTCTTTAGGCTGCTTTGGGCCTCAAAGTTAGCCTCTTTAGGCTCTTCTGGGCCTCAAACAACTTTGGGTTTTCGCTTTCGCGCAGACGGCTTCGGCCACCTGGGCACGGGCTTCCCGCCGCGGCAGCTCCTCACCTCCCCGCGCAAAGGAGCCGCCAGTTTTGGTCCTTCGAGTTTGGGGCAGATGTTACATATTCGGCGATTTGGGGCGGATGGCGGATTGAGTAAACGTGCTCTCAGGATGGATCTTGACATGAACGTTTACAGGTTTTGGCCATGCACCATTGGAGGAGTGTCGGGTTACAGATGTTTTGCGCTTGGCAATGACCCTCTGCTGGGCGACTGTTCAGTTGATGTGGTGGCTGGGCACTAGAGCAATGCAAGTTTACCGTCCACTTCACTTGTCCAAGCATAGAACTCGACCGCGGATTTGTATGACTTACGACCAATTCTAGATGTTGGAGGAGTCTTGTGTTCTTTGTTCAAAGCTGTTCCAGTTGGAGGAGGGGCCCATTCTGGTCCCGCAGCTCGACCCAGGACCCGCGGACCCAAACTTCACTGCCTATGTCTCGGCAGAGGTCGTCAGTGGGTTGGCGCCGCCGCTGCCGCTCAAGGTGCCCGGGTGGATTTCTAGAAAAGACCCAGAGTGACCGCAAGAGCGTATGTCGCAGTGTGTGCTTTTTTGCACTCAGTCAGCGTGACAGTCCTTGCAAACTCCCATTGCAGGTCTTCCCCCCGGGCCCTGGTGCTCGGTACGTGCGGGTGCAGGACTGAGAGCGACAGGCATGCTTGACCCTGGTCGCAAACAAACCATTGATCTAGGGGTACCTGCCATTGCCATTCTTTCCAGGGATCCTTCTTTTCAGGAAACCATCAAAAACCCAGGGGAAACAGCCGGTTTTTGAAAAGACCATGATTGAAACATGGGAAACAGCCGGTTTTTGAAAAGACCTTGGTTAAAACATCAAAAACCCAGGGGAAACAGCCGGTGTTTGAGAGGACCATGGTTGAAACATCAAAAACCCAGGGGAAACAGCCGGTGTTTGAGAGCACCATGGTTGAAACATCAAAAATCCAGGGGAAACAGCCGGTTTTTGAAAAGACCATGATTGAAACATGGGGAAACAGCCGGTTTTTGAAAAGACCATGATTGAAACATGGGGAAACAGCCGGTTTTTGAAAAGACCATGGTTGAAACATGGGGGAAACAGCCGGTTTTTGAAAAGACCATGGTTGAAACATGGGGGAAACAGCCGGTTTTTGAAAAGACCATGGTTGAAACATGGGGGAAACAGCCGGTTTTTGAAAAGACCATGGTTGAAACATGGGGGAAACAGCCGGTTTTTGAAAAGACCATGGTTGAAACATGGGGGAAACAGCCGGTTTTTGAAAAGACCATGGTTGAAACATGGGGGAAACAGCCGGTTTTTGAAAAGACCATGGTTGAAACATGGGGGAAACAGCCGGTTTTTGAAAAGACCATGGTTGAAACATGGGGGAAACAGCCGGTTTTTGAAAAGACCATGGTTGAAACATGGGGGAAACAGCCGGTTTTTGAAAAGACCATGGTTGAAACATGGGGGAAACAGCCGGTTTTTGAAAAGACCATGGTTGAAACATGGGGGAAACAGCCGGTTTTTGAAAAGACCATGGTTGAAAC